CAACTTGGCTAAACTCGTGCATAACGCAATAATATTATTGTGAATATTAATATTTACCACGCTGTGTTTTCGGCGACTGGCATTTGTTAAAATAACTAATTGCAAAGCGGCAATAACTGTAACTTTCGATCTTTTTTCGATTTTTTATTTTAAAATGTGTCAATTTTAACGACCATCGCAGAAATGTGGACCAAAAGAGCGTCATCTATTGCCGCTTTAAGACAGGAAATATCGGACTGAAAATAAGCTAGCCACTAACAATATACCTGTTTTAAACTCGTATATCATATATTATCCTTTCAGTCGCTTGGTTCATGCCAAAACAGCAATGATTGCGGTAACAGACGACGCTCACGTGACCCATCCAATCCACGCATTCCATATGTTGAAGCGTTATGTTAAATTTTGGAAAACTTTGACTGATGATATTGACTCCATCATTGTACAAGGTTAGCAATTTCTCAATCATTCACTTGAATTAATCTACTGTATGTCAGCTTTGTTTGCATAATTTCTCACGAGGCAAACTTTAGACTTACGGTAGAGATGCAGTTTACCTGACAGGTATTTTAATTAGTTAATTGGGAAACCAACATGACCTCCTTTGTCTACAAAACTATATATTTTCGGAAAGCTTATTGTATGAATTTTAAAATTTTGTTAGTATTTTTTGTATGGACACTGTAGTTAGAAATGTGCACAAAAAATGTGCTTTTTGGTCAAAAATGATTGAACAAAATTAGCTTCTAAACCGTGCTTCTGTTTCCTGTCAAAATTGGTTTATGGGTACATCTGTTTACTATGAAGAAAGTGCCGTCTTGAAAACTGTCTACCAGTTGTCAATTTCGCAGGGCAGCACCTCAAATTTCACTACTTCAAGTTCATGCATAATTTAACACCCAGGCTAGTTGTCTGTACGATTGTTGTAACACTGTTCAACCAAAAAGAATGCCCCGACGGCGTTTTGAAGATAAACACATTGCCAATAATTTGTGAAAATTTCAAAACAAAATGTCAAAGCGTCTAGGAGCTATTTTTTTAAGTTCTGGGACGTGCACTAAAAAGAGGCTGAGATAATTGCTAATTTGCATAAAAATTAGCACTCAGTAACACTCAGTAAGAAGTTTGCTAATGCTCGTAATTAAAATGGCTGTAACAGTTCCAAATATAAATGTATTATCGTTTTGTTAAAAGTTAAATATAGTGCATAATATGGAGATCCCGTCATTTCTTTTTTCACCATGTTTCTTTTTTATTATTTATGTACAGCCTTGCTAAATCTTGCTAAGCATTCAAAAGAGAGAATGTTTGCACCTGTTATCTATATTTTAAAATCGTGTTTTGAGTATGTTCCACTATTCACAATTCTACAAAATTTTAACAGTCTATAGAGAAGACTGTTTGGATAATAAAAAGCAAAACAAAAATTCTACTTCCAAGTGCTCACGAACCTGCATCTATACCTTACAGCAATGAATCTAATAGATAAAATAATGTTTAGTAAAACAATCTAATTAAATATATTTAAATATAATTGCCAATGTTGTCTCAAAACAAGTATTTCCACATTTTGAAAAACATTCTTTAAAAATGCCCCACTCCCATAATCATCAAATGTATTTCAGTTGCAATTTACTCTCACTGATCACAGTACACAGGTACACGCACAAATATACAAGTTTAGATAAAACATATTGAACAACATTCATCTCCATGGTTTCAATGATTTCTACATGGTTTCAATGATTTTTCATTTTCCGTTAAAATTCCCAATGTTACCAAATCTTTGCGACAAAAAAAACAAAAAAACCGTTGCTTTGACGTAAAACATAGCTGTTTTTTTCTTTTGAAGTTTTCTTTTGTGAGAGCACGTACTAAAATTGTAAAATTGTAAGTTAGAGCGGGAGGGTCATCACCTGCGCATGCGCGAGAATTGAGTCCCAAGCGATGATAACACACGCTAAGAACGCAAAGGCTTATGGGTAGACGCTTGTTTGTAAACAATGACACGCTATGGACACTGACGCATGCGTAGGTGACGACTCCCCCGCTTTAAACAACTCAAGTTGGAAAGATGGTATTATAAGTGCGTTTCTATTTGTACATACAGATCTACACACATTCTTGACAAAGTACGATGACCAGTTACCTGATGAGTCTGATTTCAGCGGCGCTTGTCTGGCGATATTGCGATTACAGTTAACCTATGAAATATCAACCAGGGACATGGCAGATGGAAAATTCATACAGAAGACAAAGGCAACAGACGTGAGTTTCGTGAAAAACGTTTATGACATGTTTTGAGTGAGTGGGAAATCTGATCTGCAAAATAAAATAAATAAAAACAATATAACCTATTACACTTATATAGCGAAGATAACTTGTAGCATTTGTTTCCATATAGCCTGATATACCTCCTTCTGGCATGAGTGTTGACGATTGTTATTTGATTGGTTATGAAGCCTACAAGGCAAATGACACACACTATTGCGTTAAATGGATGGAAGAAGGTTTGAGAAGATACAAAGAAGGTTATTCTATTATGCCATGGGAATCGTCCTCTGAAATTGCAATGCTCCAATTGAAAACGGAATGCTTGTATAAAGCAGATATGTTCAATAAAGCCTGGAGCCATTTCCAAGAATTGTCAATGTTAGGTATGTCTCTTTAAAACACTGTCAATGTTCGAAGTTGGCGTTGAATCACATATAATATGAAATACACAGTGCGAATTTTATATTGAAAATGCAATCATAATCGGCTGGTGAGACACGCTATGTTGAGTCCACCCGGGTGAACATCTTCAATTCGCATATAAACATCAAACTGTTATTCACTATGTGCAAATGATGTTTAGAGATGTGCATACTACCGTTTCGATGTATAGTGGAAAAAATACACCCAACCTCGCATCGTTAGAGAAAAGTCATATAGGGAAATTGGCAAATCAAAAAAAAAACACAAAACAAATGACAACGACTGACAAAATAATTCACAGGGACAAAACAATAACAACTGGCAAATACATTACACTAGATAAAACTAAACGTCAGATTTAACCTACGCGCAAATAACTATCAATGTTTCTACCTACTAATATCATAATGGCGGAAATGTCGAGTAACTTTTGCGATCGAGAATAGAAATGACTTACTTATATCTAATAACATCTTGCTCTATATATTATGTAATTTACAATATGAGCAGATCCAAAAAACGATTATGTTCTGAAGAATAGAACAACGTTTGAAGCAATTGCCAATACCACTAATAATGAGACTGAACGACTATATCCACCGAGGACTGTAAAGTTTAAAGACTTCAACGATTGCTGCAACGGGAAAGTAAACGTTAGTACGTTTGATTTGAACATTGGAATATAGTTTCGTACAAAAGTTATAAGCAGAAATAAATGTGTTTATTGGTGATATGCATATATTTTTACTTAATATGTAGCATAAGGGCAATAGTGGATTGGTATGTTATTTAAAACACTACCCGACATTGGGGTTTCGAGCGTTTGGAGAGGAAGTACTTCATATTCATCCACGACTTGTGTTAATTCACGGGGTTATTGACGATCATGAAATAGATCAACTGAAAAGTGTTGCTGTGCCAAAGGTATGTAAGATCACGCTCTCGTAACGTTGAGGTAGCTTTTCTTTAAATTCATTACTGCTTACGATAAAATGTGCATTTCCTTATGTGAGCATATTTTTTTGCACATTTTGTGGCACTGGATTGGGCATAAGATTCATGTATTTCCTGATGACCTGGAATTTATGTACATTCCATATTCGTTTTTTCGAATGACTAACATATGTGTGTTAATATCATGCAGCTCAGAGCATCAACAACATCGACTAAATCCAAAGGATCCAGAATAACACCCAGCCGAGTTAGCAATACGTACGTAATTCTTTCAATATCTTTTCCTGGCTGTATTTTATGACAAATGTTACACATATAAGTTACTTGAATCTATAAATTAATATAACACAGATGTTACTAACATCTGCGAAACTACTAACCATTTATATTTGTCTATAAATACCAGTGCCTGGTTAGAGGAGACAGATGATAATATATTACTTCCTCGAATAAGCCGAAGACTGGAAGCGATAACTGGCCTGAATACTGAGAATGCTGAACCGTACCAGGTATCGCATTTATACATGTAACATCCATATGAACACACAGATATGCATAGTCGTTGTACATTCCACATATATGCATATTCGGTGTACATTCCACATATATGCATATTCGGTGTACATTCCACATATATGTATATTCGGTCTACATTCTACATATATGCATATTCGGTGTACATTCCACATATATGCTTATTCGGTGTACATTCCACATATATGTATATTCGGTCTACATTCTACATATATGCATATTCGGTGTACATTCCACATATATGCTTATTCGGTGTACATTCCACATATATGTATATTCGGTCTACATTCTACATATATGCATATTCGGTGTACATTCCACATATATGCTTATTCGGTGTACATTCCACATGTATGCATATTCGGTGTACTTTCCACATATATGCATATTCGGTGTACATTCCACATATATGTATATTCGGTCTACATTCTACATATATGCATATTCGGTGTACATTCCACATATATGCTTATTCGGTGTACATTCCACATATATGTATATTCGGTCTACATTCTACATATATGCATATTCGGTGTACATTCCACATATATGCATAGTCGGTGTACATTCCACATATATGCATATTCGGTGTACATTCCACATATATGGTCAGCATGTTCCGTCTGACAGTAACGTGGTGTATCATATTTGAAAGGCAGTGGTCGTCGCGTCACGCATGCGCGAGATATGGGTCTCGTATGAATGACGACTTTGACTGTTAGCGTAGACCAGCGAGTACAAGCAGATACGTTACTTTGCTTTAACTAAGTCATTTCTTTTACCGGCGGTAATTCGTGCACGTGGCGTCCAGGTCAAAACTAGTACTCGTGATTTCCATTTGAAGAGCGCATTGGATTGAGAGGAAATCAATATTTATCAACGCAAATGTCGCACATGCGCGGCGCGATGGCCACCGCCCTTAATTAGCATACTGAACAAAGATGGTACATTGAAACTCCTTGATGGTATTCGGTCAGGTTTACTATGATTCTCTTACATTACGTTCTGTTTGCAGCTTGTCAACTATGGGATTGGTGGTCACTTTATACCACACATGGACGTCAATAATGCCAACGACACGATAAAAGCAAGAGTTGCTACCTTATTGATATACGTGAGTGTGTATATTGTTCTACATTTAGCATATATGAATATCAAGGTAATGGTCAAACACTACACAATGCTCCACTATTTAGTGATATTCTGCGATCAGCATTTGGCATTTTGAAACACTTGACATCGCTTCGTGTATGCCATGGAAATAATTACGTTGTGTGGTGTTCTTGTCAGTTGTTCTGTTCTTGTGAATGGTTTTGATTAAAGCAGGGGAGTCGTCACCTACGCGTGCGTCAGATGGCCATAGCGGGTCATTGTTTACAAACAAGCGTCTACTATGAGCCTTTGCGTTTTCAGCGTGTGTTATTATCGTCATATGGGACTCAATTCCCGCGCGTGCGCAGGTGACGACCCTTCTGCTTTAACGATTTAGTTGTGTATGCATATGATTATATACAATGTGTTTGACATGTGTTGACTCGAGTGCTTATCCAAGTTAATGTTTTTCACAGTCGCTTTACAATTATTTTATAGTTGTTCCATACGATAGTGCACTACTGAGTCTCCTCAAAAAGTATACTATATTTACATTTCAGACACTGTTACTCGATTTTCTAAAAACACAGTCTGTGTATCAGTGAATTACTGTGACATACATTGTGTTACTAGATGTGATTTGATGCGATGTTGTGCGATATGATGACGTATAAAGTGATCTATGATGTAATCAGCCATTGAGCAAACATCTGTAAATCATCTCTTGAAGCATACAAAATAGGCAAATATACACCTAACAATCTGTGTGTTTGTTTTTTATTCGAATATTCCGAACATCACACAGCTAACCGATGTGCAATACGGAGGGAGTACGGTGTTTGATGTACTAGGTGTCAAAGTTGATGCACGAAAAGTAAGTATTTCGGGAAACAATTGTTCATTCTAAAAGCTGTGTCACAAACGTCATGTTTGAATTTCCTGATTCATCATACCATCTCTATTACAGGGAGATGCAGCGTTTTGGTTTAACCTAAAAAAGTCCGGCGAGTTCGACAAGGACAGTGGACATGGAAGTTGTCCTGTCCTATTGGGCGAAAAATGGAGTGAGTTATATGTTTTTGTAGTATATTCTAAGCATATGCTGTATCCATGAAATCATCATTAAGCCATTAATCATAATGCCCGACTCCCCACTATAGTAGATACTACTAGTATTTGAAAGATATTTAGGAATTTGACTCCAGTCTTATTTGTTTCAGTTATAAACAAGTGGTTCAACTATTATGATCAGTTTTCAAAGCGAAAGTGTGGAATGTCAGAAGATGAATGAAAACAAAATTCTAAATGTCAGTTCGCTGGATATACTCCCACAAACAATCTATTGAAACGGGGTTCCTGGAATTGTACCATGGCATTATGGAGTACTTTTGTTATCATTTTTTGAAAAAACTAGTCTGTCTATTGTTTTCCCAACAAAATAAACTGAATATTATTCTAAGAAACAATCTTTTTCTTCAACGTATGCTATTTAGTAGGAATTTGCATTGTTGTGCTGATAGAGGGCGCTATTGGGCCTTATAGCGGTAATCAAACTTAAAACATTTTGTTTTCATCCGCTCGATATCTAGAAACGACGCCATCTATGGCCGTCTTTTTTCCTCATTTCTCATAATGAGATGTAAGGACTAGAGGAACGAGCCTGTATTGAACTAAAATGTAGCAGCTAGTTAGATTTGTTCGCAGAATTACAGAATTAAGTATTACAACTTAAGGGCAGTGAACATGTTGTTTACGGTGTCATAAACCAAAATTCAGAACTTAGTTCTTACAATATATGTTTGGGATTCTAACAGATCGGTCGATGTACTTAGTCGTCATCCTCCTCGGTTGCTTGTAGTAAGAAGCTCAATCGTCAACGTCCGTCGGTGGTGGCGCTGTTAAATATTCATTAACCCTATAGTGATATCTAAATTTCCTGCATTTTGAGGAGCAAATTTTGCTGGCACAAAGGATTTCAGCTTGATTTTGGCAACGCCCCCACCCCAACATTTGTTTTGAGGGGTGACCGCTCCCTTCACCCCCCCCCCGTGCCGACGCCACTGGGATACGTGTACAAACGATGAAGAAAGTACATATGAAAAAATATTTAACAAAAATAGTATTATATCATATATCCTCGGGGGCGGACATCCGGGCATTTTGACCTCCTGGCAACCCGCGGCGGTGAAAACAAAGGCCCAAAACTCGCAGAAAACGATACTTTGGGATGATTGTTGAGACTCTTCTGAACAGTGTAACACGATTAGCCCTACGTGTGTAACATATATAAATTTGTTTTTTCTGGATTACTTCAAAGTTGAGTTTGTGTTGTTTTCTCGAATTTTCACCGACTCGACCGTCGTTCCACAGCAGCGCGCACAGAGCCCATAGAAATGCATGTACAGTGGTGCGCGTCGTAGCAACGTGGAACGTCTGTGACGTAGCTCCGCCCCCGAGGATATGATAACTAGTTACATGTGTGTACTAATATGATACACACTGAGCTTCAGCCTAACGTCCTTGGCCGAGACGTGTTTCTGGTCATAATGTACATTAAAATTATATTAATATGAATAACGGCACTCGAGTTTGAAAGTCAAACTTTAATTAGTTGAATAGTCATGAATAATTATGTTTTTAAGCGCTTTCATTTGAATGCCAGTAAGTTCGTTTACAGAGCAAAAAGCTAGCAACACGTTGATTTCCGTATTCCACCATTTTAGTTTTACAAATTACTATTATGTGTCGGTACTATCGTTAGTTCTGATTGGGTAATGCAAATGAGTCCAAGTGAATCTTATAACCGCTTGAGGGCGTGCGGCATACAGCAAATCGCGGCGAAGTCTGCCACGGCCGAAAACATGTTTTTTGCTGTTCTATGAATCTGACATTAATCATGGTGAGGCAATGTGCATACGTTCTGTAGTACTGAAATAAGAGCAACATATTGGTCTAGATGTGGGTATGTAATTACTAAAAACATCGGTCTGGAAGTGGGTGGGGTCAAAAGTAATTTGACCATACACCCCTACCCATTTTGGTTGAAAGACCCCCCCCCCTGAGAGGATAGCATAGACCAATTTTCTTGGTGTGGCGAGCGAGACTGGGTGTAAGTAAAACGCTTGCTTTTGTCATGAGGGAAACGCCTTTCTTCAACTTTCGATGTAATCACGGTGATTCGGTGGCGCAGGACGATCGCGTTACATACCGAAATGCACGCCATACATACTGCGATCTCACTAACAATCGTGTTGTCATACACACAGTACTCTGCCCAGAGAAGCTTATTCTCATTCAATAGATTTTCTTTTATCTCTTCTTAATACACATGGATATCGAATCACATCAAACATAGCCTACTTTACATGCAACATGCCCATTCTCACAAGTGAGACTCGTATGCCCGGAAACGATCGGGTTTTAACAACACGTCACAGTATGAAAACGTGTCATAATGGCAAGAGGAGTGGTGAGAAATGTCACACTCAGTAAACTCAGTAAGTGAGCTTTATTTTGACACACGTCCCGAAGACGTGACTAGTTGGAATAAGATTGTATAAGTTGCCATGGGAACCATGTTACAACACTAAATTAGCACCTGTAAAATATTTAACCATGCATTCAAAGATGCATCCCACAGTCTAGATTAAATAATGAGCTGTGAGCAGCCAGCCTTAACACGTCGTGTTCTTAGGCTCGTTCTACTATATCTAACAAAAATTCAGCCTCGTTCCCATATCTCTAACAAGACTATTGCGGAATGAAACCGAAAGTAAATTTCTAAGGGTGTTGCTAAATGAAGGATAATTGACCAGGCATCGGCTCCATAGAAACAATTTGAAATGAGATGGACGTACACGTTCTTCAAATCATAGATGCTTATCCAGAATAAAGTGATGTTACAAAAAATTAAATATATAACCAACTGTCGCGTGCAAGAAGGCTGGAACGTTGGAGGTGGTATCCGATAGAGGGCGTCGTATAGGAATATCACTTGTGGGAAGACTTGCAAAGTCCTAGCATACTCTAAAGCCACCACGATCCCTGCTGTGTTATCTGCAGATAGGGAACACGCTATAATCGTGAATAAGGATGTGATAAGTTGACCTGCGCAGGAGATCAATAACAACCCAGTCTCTAGGTTGTTTTCTGCCGTGTTATCAATTCGCCAACCACAGCTACGTGAATTCATCCGTATTAGAGCAACCAGACTAGCAACGCAGCCTGAGATATACACCGCCATGGGAAAACTATCGTATACATACTCGGCCATACTGTCATCACTTCTTTTCACCAGCCCTATATGGGCTAACACAAACATTGTTAGTCCTATGTAGCTGTGGCTGAGGGTGCGATGCTTTGCCTTATCGTGATGAGGCTGATTTCGATCTCTGCCTTCAGCTTCCAGGTCCCCTCTTCCGGTAACGTTCTTGTACAGGAAGTACATAATGCCGGACATAATTATTTCAGGAATTCACTGGATGTATTTACTATCGTGTTAAACGAGAATTCGTTTTCCTTATCTAAGTTTGACACTGTAAGAAACGGACATACACCATCATGGAATTCATAGTTTAATCTACAGCATTAGTAATTTGGATGGATAATATACAAGCACATTAAGCCAAGTTTTTTGGCAAATGATGCTATGTTTTAACATCAAAGCACATTAACTGCCAGTGGCGAATTAATCACAGTCGATATACGTAGAGCTGTCAACTTCAATTTGTCGTTTGAGAGGACGAGGTCATCTAGGTGTACGTGGCAAAAAACGACTGAAAAGATTTCTTTTTTGCATTTTTCATTGTCAACGATATCCTACTTCTGATCCTACATCAAATACTTTCTTTGTTTTTTGACAAACTTTGCTACTATAACACTCCCTCAATTCCTTACCTTTATCGACATTCGTATATTGCCATTGGGTCAATGCTGTCACGTTTGCTCTGACGTCAGATAAATTGTAATAGCTTGGACACATGACAGATCGATTAAACATTCTGCTGTTGTGAGTCCAATCAGTCCAAGTCTCGATGACGTAATAGCGACACCAACTGCTGATGTTGGTTGCCCAGATTAACATCATTGCCACTCTGGAAAAAACGGTACGATATTAGGGATTGGTCAGTTACTTCGGCCTAGGGGGGGGGGGGTCGGTGGATCAGTAAGGGGGTTACCCTGTTTTTGGTTTTGCGAATAGGGGGGTCACCCTGTTTTTGATATCATGAATAGGGGGGTCACCATGTTTTCCAGAATTCACACATGCGCTTATGCATATATTTAAAAAAAAAATATTTCAGAACAAAAGATAAAAAAGTTAATCGTACAAATGTGTTCTTAATAATAACTATTACCTATATTGCCTATGAATTTGTTGATGCAAAAAATGTTATATGCTAAATATTTTGGGGTTGAAGTTGCCAAATAACTAACAGATTATGCAATGCGGCTAGAACCCCAATTATACAGTTAAGTTTTAAGCACATCCCAAGTCCATGTGCTGCTGATATCAGATTATTCTATTTAAAGTCTGAAGTCACCATTGTATAAGATATTTACTGGATTTATCCATATAACAGGAGACGGGAGACGGAAAGACACAGCAATTAGTACAAAAAGCAGTGACAGTTTTTGTTCAGCAAATCAAAAAAGTTAAATTTGTGAAAATGCTGATATATAAATTAAAATAAATGATGAAAAAATAAATAGTTTTTTTTAGTTTTTTTAACTTTTAAATAATGCATATTTTGCTCTGTGAAATACCAAAATCCAACACAAATTTAAGCAAAAATCAAAGTGTCCTTTGTTTTCATAAGCACAGACTGTACTTCGGGTGTAAAGCATTCCTGGTCTATAAGATATGAAAGATATTTTAAATCCAAATTAGTTTTCAAAGAGTTCTAACCTTTGCTTTTATTTACTATCTTTAGCAGCATAGATTTCCCTCCTTCCTGCAGCCTTTTCTGTAGTCGTTTTTTGGCTTTATGCTTCCCCTCCCCTCCTAAGGTCTATTAAATGCAAACACTAAAAATTATGGCAAACCATATTTTTACTGCACATATACATTTTGTAATCATGTCAGAGCCAAAATTGTTAATGTTTGTTTTTAGGGGGGGGTCAGCATGTTTTAAAATATAATGTTGGGGGTGGGTCACCCACTTTTTTTTATTTGATAGGGGGTGGGTCAACTGAGATTTACAGCTGGCAAAATGGAATCTGCCGACTCCCCTTAGGCCGAAGTAACTGACCAATCCCTTATACAAGAGTTTACCGCATGAGGGGAACGTGCAGTTTTTGCGACATGAAGAACGCAGGAGATCGAGGACGAGGTTGAAAAACGTTTAAGGGTTTCTACAACTGTGTGGTCACCGATGTTAGGTACAGTATTTGTAATATAACACCAATTCAATAAACCATGTCGGGCACTGGCACTCAGTTGTAGTATATTTATAACACCAGTGGGGGAGGGCGTCCAGGGCAACCGATAGTGAAATTGACAAATAAACAACAACGAGATGCTGAATATTTACGAGCTACGAAAACACCAAGTAACGCCCATATTTGAGAAACCACGCCCACTATTGAGAAGCCACGCCAAAATTGTAACACGATGTTCAATAAACAGTTATCAGAACTTCGTGATGCGTGATTCACTGACTTGTAATATAGACGAATTGCAACATTATACGTATTCCTCAAAAACAGGGTGTGGTTAAACGAAAAAATTCGCGACATTGATCGCAACTGAAAATCAAGCAAAACATCACATGGCCAAAAATTGAGGAAACATGACATGATTACGTATGTTCCATGTGTTGCATTGATTGGAGACTGTTTAAAAAAAGGAAGTTAAAACTCACCTAGCAAACAGAGGCCACTTAGTTAAAATGGCATCTGAAAGCCCACACGAATAACAACTGGCAAAAAATAAAAGCTATTTGAGCGATTGATTCCGCGGCGTTCATTGGCTTTCCTGTCGCGTAACTTCCATCTGCCACTGCACCAACAGTAAACCCACACTCTAATATAGCACATACACCAAACAACGTTGCTCCCACTGAGAAAAAAAACATACAAATTATGTACTGAAGACAATCAGGTACACATAGTGTACATAGTGTGCATAGAAGAAATGGTACGTAACATTAAAATGTGTCTCAATATTAAAACGGAGCTGACGTCACCTGCGCGAAAATTGGGTCGTAAGCGACTATAACAACACGCTAAAAACGCAAAGGTTTATGGGTGGACGCTTATTTGTAAACAACGACACGCTGTGGCCGCCTGCCGCACGAGCAGGTGACGACATCGCCGCTTTGATGCCAATAATATTCTTTGATGGATTTGCGTTCACTAACCAATGATATATGCTGATACGCCATGTGGACGACGTTCTCCATCGTGTTGCCGAACCATTCCGGACATTTTTATGAACACCATGCACGAGATTGAACTTATAAATAGGTAGAAATAGAAGGCGTCGACTTGACTGGGTGTGAGACTGTTTGCTGGATCCGCCAGCACGTACGATACAGTCAGCACAACACCCACCACCACGTGGGTCATCCCCCATAGCTGACTGAATGCAATACCCGCCTTTGATCCGGGGAGAAATATTAAGAATAATTGTTGTTAATATGGTAGATTCTCAGTTATTAACTTGTAAAAATGGATTAAAAAACGTAAAGCTCATGTAATGGTGACGTACTAGAAAAAGCATGTTCTTTGTATATTTTTATTATATTTTTACAAAAAACATTTTTGATTGACACTTTGATGAGCCACTCCCACGACAATGCAATTGTCTGACTATGTTACATAACGGAGGAGGTTACGTCGGTCAACATTGTGTTTTTAGGCTGAATTGCAGTTCCAGAAGCGTACGTTGTCTCCACATTGATTGGTGGCGCTGTTGATCATGAAATGCGTAGTTACTAGTACACATAGAAAATAATATCAAGGATTATATTGAATGAAAGATGTGTGAATTATGTGTTTATATTAACCTAAAAAGTTCAATACAGTGGTTCTTAATAATCAGATACGACAAATCACAATCCCTCCACGAGGGACTGTGATGGTAAATGCAAACAGCACGATTATATGAATAAAAACATATTGGTCAGTGTACAACCACAAAAAAAAAACGATTTGCCGACGTCATGCGAAATTAAAATAAAACTAAAATGACTTCCCACTGATCGGAACATGCATCTAAATAACCCGAATTAGATGGGCTTCAATGTCGGAATATTAGCAACAGCAGTTGGTCTCAACACGATCGTCTTTAAACGACGTGTGGGAGGGTGTCATCCGGGGTCATTGTCTTCTGCGAACTAATTAGCATATCAAGGCACTGTTTAACATACGTTTGATTCATCGGAAAGTCCCAGTGAATTGCATTGTGCGGAAATTGAATTCACGAAAATGTCGTTCTAGAGTGGATATTAGAAATCTCGTTTTAGGCAGGGTTGGCAATCCATGTTTTTTGTTTGTTTTTTGTCATCAAGGTGTGAAGCTAGTGCCAGTACTTAATTATCACATATATTGTGACCGTATTAGATTTGTTATGCTTATCTAAAGTTGCGATGGCATATTAACATTCTGAGAAAGAAATTAATATAGGAGGTGGCCCTATATGTTAAGCCTATGCTAAATTACACCTCTCGCGTAGGCGACATGTAAACGTTTCAGTGTATAACTGTCAAATGCAGAGCTATCGACGCCGAAGTTGCAATTTCAGTAGCCGTGCATGTCTTGTTTTAGTAATCGTTACTATTCTACCAAAGCCCTCAGTTCTTTTCACACAACCCAGTAAGGGAAATTGTTGTCTCCTGTCCTTCGAAATAAATTAGTAACTAAGAACTGAGTTTTTAATTTGAAGCAAATAAATGATCAGATATTTACATAGTTAGAATTAAGACTGTTGATTACTAACAAATCTCATCAAATCAGACTCGCCGTTAAAAATAATGTACAACTAAAATAATAAGCTCAACCAACTTGAAAACAGTAACTAACAACCTTATCACGGCCTCCATTCTGATGAATCTGTGGATTTCCAGTGAACAGGAGCGTCTCCATTGATTATGTTAATTAGTTCGGGGAAATCGGCGTCCTCAGGCTAGAGATCATAGTCACCCACATATTACTAACTATATAAACTATTTAAATAATGTACGTACGTAGTAGTATATATACGTACAGACTTGACCTGCCTGGAAATGTCTGTCATTGTTTCTATAATACGATGCCGCTTTAAAGTGATGAACGTTATTTAGCTTCGTGTGGTTATGTAATACTAGGTCAACTAATAAACACCGTACCGGGCCGACAGTTATCGTATTTTCCGACGCCGGTAAATTCGAAAGTTTCATCCAGGCCAGTCATCGCGCGATTCCACGTTTGGTAAATGGACATAACGTATTTTCAGGGCAGCCGATAGGAGCATCTTATGCATAGTGGATAGACCAACCATCAATAACACTGCAGGTAAGTCTAGATCTGATAAATTTCAGTTCATAGCGTAAAATGTGTAAGTTTAACTCAAAGTTTACAATTACACGTGAAGTAAAAATAGACACTCCGACACTTAATCGGGGTTCCCTTTGTATTAATTACTAACTCAGTGGAATTTGCAATTTCCTAACTTGAACCGACAATACAATTGTCTTATTTTTATGTGAACAAAAAACGACAATATACAAGTTACTATAAGCTGGATAGCCCGTACGCATGTAGTAGTCGCATTAACTACTTGGCAGGTAAAATAGTAGCAAGCTGGAAATAAAATACCGACTAAAAACTAACTACGTTACGACTAGTATAGGCGAGATTTGACTATAATCTACTATATGTGACGTAAGATGCGTGACGTTGACATGCCCGGTGAGAGTGGCTAGTTATTAGTATGCTGTGTTCGTTAACTGCATACGTGCCAGGAGGCTGCTCTCCCATTCGCGACAGCTAGTGCATACTTGTTTAGACTTTTAGTTTGTATTTACTGAATTTACCATTGTAGGTATTTCAATTAGGTTGACCACGCTTTAGGGAACCGCGATCAAACGGAAATACAGTATGAATGCGGATCTCAAGTTTCTTCAACGCCCAGTTGTTGTGTTGTGTAGTGCCCATTCAGTGCATTGAACCCGCACTCTGAAAGCCGGTAAAAGACAATGTTTTTGTTCTTATAGGTGCCGATGACACCGAAGCCCTATAGATTTTATAAACCATTTGTATATCCCCCAATCATACAACATAATCTACTAAACAGCGTTACTTACAATTGACGCCTGTAAACGTTTCAAGTATAATCGTCAAGTGCAGAGATATCAATGCCGAAATTTTTATTTCAATAGCCGTGCATGTCTTGTTTCAGATATTCTTCCCAAACCCACGACCGCTTTCTCTCAACCCACTATGAGAAATTGTTTTCGTCTGTATTTCACAATAAATTAGTAGATCCGAATCGAGGTTTCGATTTGAAGCAAATAAATAATTGGATAGTTAGATAAATAAGACTGTTGAGTACTAACAAATATCCTCAAATCAGACTATATTAAAAATAATATATCACTATTATCATCTAACGGGAATACAGTATGTTAATCAACAACCTTAAAACGGCCTCCATTATGATGAATCTGGGGATTTCTAGTCAACAGGAGCGTGTTCATTCATTATGTTAATCAGCTCGGAGTAGTCGTCGACCTCACGGTGACAGCCAATCACAACTGGAATACTATATGTACGTACGGTGACTTAACCTGCCTGGACATATCTGTCATTGTTTCTATAATACGATGCCGTGAACGTTATTTAGCTTCATGTGGTTATACATTACCAATAAACACCGTGCCGGGGAGACAGTTATCATATTTCCAGTTTCCGGCGCAGGTAAAATCTAAAGTTTCATCCGTAGGCCGAGACATCCTGTGATTGTGTAGAAGCACGCATTCTAAATTTGGTCAATGGACATAAATATAACGTGTTTTTCAATGCTGATTGGGGCAGCCGTTCGGAGTATCTTATACATAGTGAATAGACTGATTATTAGTCACACTACAGGTAAATCTAGATGACATAGACATTTCAGTTTATGACGCAAAATATGTAAGTTTACCTACATAGAGGGACTGTGGTTTAACTTACAGTTCATACGCGTGTATAAAATATACTACCCGACACTTACTCAAGTTTGCCTTAAAAGTTTCTATTAATTACCAGCGTTGGAAGATTTACATTTGCATAACCCACAATACATTTGTCTCATTTTTATGTGAACAAAGCTCTACAGACGTGCGGAACCTGGATCAGAATCAGTGTTATGATACTCTAAAAGACTAATTTTCCAAACACGTTGTCAACAAACAATAACATCCATGTTGAGAGCGGGACTTTCCAATGTGGTTATATTTAGAAAGTGGGCGGTTTGTCGTGGCTCAGCTTTCTTGTATATTGAGCTATGAGTCACTACAGCACGTACGCAAATAATCGTACTTAGTTACATGGCAAGTGGAATTGTAGCTGGAAAATGCCGACTAACTGCTGATGATCTAGTTGTTACGACTAGTATAGGTGAGATTTGTCTTAATCTACTGTCTGTGGCGCAAGATGAGTGACGTTCGCAGTGAGAGGGGCTTCTCTTCTTAGTATGTTGTGTTCGTTAACGGCATACAGTGCGTAACTCTCGGGAAGTCGCTTCTCGCATTCGTGACAACTAGTGCATAACTATTAGTTTGTGTTTTACTGAATTGGGTACATTGTAGCTATTTCAATTAGGTTATTGCAAACCTGCCGACCACGCTCTAGAGAACTGCTCTCAAACGAAAAGTCACTAAAAATGCGAGTCTCAAGTATCTTCTTCAGCCATAACTGAAAGTTGTACTGTGTAGTGTCCATTCAGTGCTTTCAACTCGCGCTTTGGAAGCACAGTAAAACAGTGTCTTTGTTTTTTTGGGTGGTGACACACCGTTATATATCGATGTTATAAAACCACAGTAATCCCCCTGACCGTGGATAATACCAACATAATCGAAACGGCGTTACGTACAATTTCTCGTTTTGTTATTTGCTTTTATCAGTGTTCCTGTGAAAATGGCCACCTCGTATAGAGCAATTAATGCTGATTTGCCGGACTTCGAGACCATTTCATTAAATTCTGTGGACATTGACGAATACAGGAATCTTATAAGAAAAAGGGCAGTCAGCAAAGAAGAGTAAGTAATGAAAGATCGACTGCAATAATGCAGTCATGGCGTAAATAGCTTGCTAAGAATATGTCATTAAAACGGGGGAGTCGTCACCTGCGCACGCGGCAGACCTCCATATCCCAATCCGATTAAAATAAGATCCTGGTTGGCTTAATTATTTTTTATATTTATTAATTTTAATTAGTTTTTGACGTTACAAATATGTGGCTGCAAGAATTGTTTTGTTTGTGGTGCCGATCCAGCAAATTTATTGTAAAAATAAATATTAAAATAAATAATTTAAATTAATAATTATAATAAAAAGCGCCTACCGATTAAAGCCTTTGCGTTTTAGCACGCGTTATCGTCGTCGCTTGGAACACAATTCCTGCGCGAGAGCAGGTGACGTCTTCTTTACTTTAATATACGTTAATATTTTGGGCATCTATTAAGAAGCCTTCTCATTTTCGTTTAGTTTGGCAGAAAATCAGTCTCGTTCTGGCCACAATGAATGCCTCCTTTATATGACGTCATGGTCTAAATCTACATGAATCATGGGATCCCGAAACACGTGAACTTTCCTGTCACTTATCACAGGAGGACGTTTGCGTTGGATATCGGGAAGTATTTGCTCATGCCTTTTCCACAAGAATATCGTCTAGGTAAAACAGTAGTGTTAATGATATTTAGTAAAGAAGGTATATGTAGATGATTACGAAACCCATTTATAGGGTTTACGCATGGTACAGAGTACGATAAGGTAACATCACTGTCATCCGGAACAATGGTATTAGTCAACGCATTGTACTTTGTGTCTGTTTCAGGTCACCGGGCGGTACCGTATGTGGACAGCTAGCTGGCATCACATTGGTCGTTATTGGAGTCGCCTTAACTCTGACATTTATACTCAAACATGGTGAGAAAGTGGCTGAGCAAGACAACGATGGGTACTTCATATTTGTGTATACCACCTCGATATGTTCAATGATTCTGCTAAAGTTTGTTTTCATTCGCCCAAGGTCCGGCGACGAGTTTGTACAACGGAACGCCAGGTCGCACTATTTATTCGGTAATTATTCTATGCTTTTCGGGCGGGACATGTCTCTCATCCCATCTCATTTAGGGAGTGCGTGCACGTATACGCACAATTTTATCGAGATCCACGCATTTTGTCATCATTGAACGCGGGTTTTAAAATAGCAGTAAAGTGGCTCTACTCGACGATCACGGATTTTTGAAAAACAAGCGTAAGATTATGCATTATATGAGGCTGTGGTTTGCCTTACAATGTAGAGATACTTTCTCCAATAAAATCATCTTCTTCTTTAATTTGTTGTGTTCTTTTCTCTTACCAAGTTGGCGCAGTCTTGTTTGGGGCTTGTGCTATGCTATACTGTGGGTTGACAGTGGCGGCTGTCTATGATAAGAGTTATATCGGAGCTAACACTACAACTGCTGTTTCGTCAATATGCCGTATATTGTTCACTTTAGCACAGTTACTATTTGTGTGTGAATATTCCAACGTATGCATCAACAAATATAATTTATTAGCAAGGTAAGTTTTGTATACTTATACTAACATAAACCAAAACATAAATTATATATATATATATATATATATATATATATATATGAATTAATATAATTCTCATTAATATAACATTTAGTTAAATCCATTGTAATGTTGGGGTGTTTTTCGTCGATAGATTAGGCGTGATATGCATCTGGGCCGGTAATATTGGTACATGGTGTCGGCTGTATACAAAGGAAACTTCGGAAACATGGATCACAAAGGATGATACAGGTGAACTCAGGTGCAGTAACCCGGATGTCAATAATACCCAATGGCTAGATCTGAAAGGCGAGTCATTCAGTTTTAGAAACCATTTCAAACATACATTGAAGTTCAAGTCACACACATTTGTCGAAAATCAAGTGTGGATTTAGAATGAACCGGCGCGTCCCACCCAAACCTTCGTTACTAGTACCCACAATGCAATGCAGCAATAACGCCATAGTTAAAGGAAACATCAAGCCAAACAACATAATGATTCCTCAAGTAAAAGCTCCACAAATGTATGAGAATGCAATTTACAGTTTTTTATTATAATTACTTTTCATTCTCTAGATATTTAACTTTTCATTAGTAATATGTAGTCAGCCATCTTGATTCTCAAGCAAAGGGTTGTGGGTAAAGTATGACATCATAGAATCTGTTGTCATAAAATCAGAAAATGATTTCATCTATAACATGAGAAATACTGATGCGAATTAGTTCGCATCAAATTTTCGTTGTGCATATTACTCATGTATATAATTATAGTAATGGAAATTAGAATGTTATAAATACACATAAAGTGAAAATATTGCCAAAAATGTTAGAAAAATAAAAATCGGTACTTTAGTCGTGTATGTAGAATGACACTTTTTTCCCCTTTTTGTGATCAACAGGTAATATATCACCTGTATACCCTACTCACATCGGTAAATTCTGTACAATATAAGGAAATTTTAGCATTTGGTAGAAAAACATAAAAAAAAATATTTTCAGTTTTGTTTCCATGACAACTATTTTATAAGCATGTTTGGCACTAATACATGTGTGCTACCATGTTCTAAACTTTCAGTCAATTTGAAGTTCAACTTTTGAAGTTATAGATGAAATCATTTTCCCAATTTCTGACAACAGATAAGTGTCACACGCCAGTGCCGAATCATCTCGTATTTTTTTTGAAATCAACGATAAACAGCCTCTTTTTATCTCCTTATCCGAGTTAGCCTATACAAATCGTCATATCCGGGCAAAAAATATACATGAATATTCACTATATGCAAATTATATAGCAAAATAAATAAACACCAAGTGCGAGTTATCTGTCTTCAAAACACGCTCTGTTATTTGTGTCGCGTATTTTACATAGTGTATGTAGACTCAGGCAATTAACACACAAACACATCTTAACCGCTACTAACATGCAGTCTGTGTTAATGATTACAGATTCAACTGTTAACAACTCAACCGAGCTCACCTTCATGAGTATCCTGCACTCGGCTTCCGCGTTGTTGGTACCTGCAGCGATGGAGTATGATATCATTATGTCCGGGGTGATGTTTTATATGTATACAAACGTTGGTAACACGTGTGTCATCGAGGACATACGACCCAGGGTGCGCAAAAACAGAAGTCTGAAAAACAGTTACTTTGGGTTTGCATTGGGTATACTTGTGATCGTGTCATCATTTGCGATATGCATGGGGTATATCAGAGAAGTCAGCAAAGACCCTTTCGAAGCAGAATCTATGTACTATGGTTATGTAGGCACCATGTATTTAATGACTGTGATTGCCTCGCTTGCTGGATTCTTGCGAATACGTAACAGCGACTGGATTTATAATGCATCTGCGAGGAACGACAAACAACTTGAGACCGGACTGTTACTGCTATCTTCCGTTGGTCAGTTAATACACCCAATTTTCGCCTGCGTTGCTGCTTATTACTCGGTCGATTCTTACCGACATTTACACAATGCAATAGTTTTATTGGTGAAGGAGAGTCTTCGAATCGTGGGTGTGTTTGCACAAGTCACTTTTCTAGTGGAAACACTTCACAGATCTCCACCACCTGGTCAATCGAGAGCGATTATAGTTCGACAGTTTGTACTGTTTTTAATCCTTTCGAATTTCACGCTGTGGCTTTTGACTTTCTACGAGCTCCAGTACATTTACGTCCACCCTGTACAGTATTGCTTCTATGGCAAAATTGCATGGTCGCTTATAGTGCACCTATCCTCCCCACTAGAAATGTACTTCCGATTTCATTCTGTTATACTGATGTTGGAGATTTGGGAAAGCTTTTAATGGATCTCGATTGATGTAATATTTTGTTTTTGGTAAGCGATAAATAGTATAATAATGCATCCAGTACATGAATACTTCGAAAAGGCTAAGATATAGCAAAAATGTACATACCTTTATGGAGGAAACCGTTACTTGTCAACATTTACATACAACCAATACATATTCAACGATCTGTAAGCAAGTTGGGTAATTTTCACGTTTTATAAAAAAAATCGGATATCATGGTTAAACACTTTCACATATTTACAATTATATAAAGTAATATAATGATACAAATGATAATAATGATGAAGCATAACTCAACTTCAATAGGAATGATTTCAAATATATTTAATATATTTTATTTTTACCAGGTGGTATCACAAATGAGAGTGAAATGGACACGCATATCAGTGGTAACTGTAATTTTCTTTGGAAGGGCCACGATTTAAACCGTATTAAAATAAATTTACGCACTTATTTATTGGGTTGTATTTTTTCCAAGCCAGTACGAGTGTCTTCTTAGCTCATTTCTGTCAGTAGCACGAAATAGGGGTTTATAATTGACAAATGTCCTTGCATGTGAGTAATTTGTAGCTGTAATCATAGCATATATGGTTGCATAGCGATCTCTTAGCATTGCAAATGCGATTTGGTTTCGTCTTAAGATTTATTCTTTCGATTTTTTTTCGTGAAAATGCAAATGTTGTAGACATAGTGAGATGAATAAAATTTGCATGTTCGTCACGTGTATGGTTGAACAGCCAATGTACTGGCTTATTTCAGTTAAGTGGTAAACATGATGAGATATTGTGGCACAGTGCCTTAATTTGTTTCAAAGATTTTGAAAGGTGTCATTAAAAAGGTTGAGGTCGGATCTGTTGCATACTGGAATGTATGTAACACATCAACAGCAAATTACGAATGACTATTCTTGCCTTGGAATTTGTGCTAAGTTCACAAAGACATGCAATAGTTATTCGATACATGGGTGCCACGTGGCTTCATTAATACCAGATGGGCGAAAAACTGATCGTAGTGTGTAGGGATTCGACCAAAAGGATACACATTAGTTCATTACAGAGAGTTTAGCTTTATTCATTTAAACGATCAGCTAAGGTAACACCTCGCTGTCCATTTCTCTTACGAAAAATTACATACTCTCCAATAAAACTCTAAGACGAGGTAGAGTAAACATGCGATCATCCAATGACTACCAGAGATATGTCTAACAAATTAAAGCATTTAATTGTCATTACTGAACACGATTAGTAAACAATGTATTTATTAAATTCATGTAATATATGTATATTATGTCTCCCAAGTCGTTGATCCTAAATAATACTGCAACGTCGTGTGACGCAAACGTACGTACGTGATGTCATTATAGTAACAATGGTCTAGGGTCCCGGAGCTGTTAGGTGAGCTAGTCTCTGAACTATATATAGCCAGCGCCCATAAAAACAAACAAAATGTATATTCCGTCAACCGTTTGACACAATTGTTTTCATCTTTGTTAAGTCTATCCATTTTTGCGAATATATTATTCCGGGTATATGCAACAATCAGACATATCCATAGAACCCATACTCAGTAAGTTATTTCAACTTCCGTTTTGGAAGATCGTTTTGGAGCTAAAAAGTTATATTTACTTAACCTCTTGAACAATATAGATCATATCTGAAATTATTTATTGTAGACATAGCTATAATTGTTCTTATAACTTTTAGACAACGCAAACAGCATATGTAATTTATTTGTATCAGCTATGGTGTGCTATTTTACTATTTGCACGTGTTTATAATGACTCCTAGTTGAGTTGCATGTGCGACCTGTGGTGTGTGAAATAATATTTTTATTTTTATTCAAGCGTATCTATAATATCCGAGAAATCATCAAATGTGGCTGGGACCTTCACGCTTTTGTTGGGACAATACAAAACTGCAGATTGGTTAAAAGTTATTTTGAAAAAAAGAGCAATTGTCAGCAAGATTAACGCAGTATGTTTTACAATTCCATTACCCTCCCAAAGAGTTTATCTATTATTCACTCATTAGAGACAATTTTACTGCAATTCTTCATTATTATCGGTAACCCGTTTAATCCCCACAGCTCATTTACCGCACAGCAATGAAATAAAGTGTAGGCTGACACCAACTACTACCAGAGCAATTGAAAGAGGAATGTATCTTGACTGAACTATAAGTTATTCAACTGGCTTTGACGGGAGCTGGGATAAAGAATCAATACTAGTACAACAAAAATACATAATAATGAGGTTTAACTAATTGTCGCGGGGGCAGTCTGTAATCCTCGTTTGTTGCATGTGACGTGTGGGAGTTACTAGTAGATCATTTATCCATGCTTAAGCCACTAACCCGAAGTTTCTATTACCGATAGACAGTAATCCCTCAAAGATGAATTCTATAAATATGTACTATTTAAGTACTGGATTCCCAAGGAGCAAGGTCTTATCCACCATAGCCTGCGAGGGCGTTGCTTGATGAAATTAGCTGCCAGAAATAATTCATTCATATAAATTACATACTCTGCATGACGCTGCATGACAGGATATATCTAAGACGATGATATTACGTGATTCATAAATAAATCAAGGTACACTAAAACGTGAAATAAATGACAATTTGTTTAGTTTAGATAATTGCCATGGTTACAATCTATCCACTTATCCAAAGTTCTAAATACATCAGAACAGCATGGAAACGACAGTAAATTCCCAATGGGGTCAATAAATGAAGAATGATAGACCACACCTCGTAACCATAGAAACAATATTGGAGTCGATTCACTTTTTCAGCTTTCAACTCATAAACAGTCATCCAGAAATAGGTGAAATACACAATAGCCATACACATCATTATTTCCCGAACGATGCCAGGTTTGAACTCCTTTGGTGGATCCCTGTGAAGGGCATCGTACAGGAAAATAACTTGACAGAACACTTCGACGATCTTGAAGCACTCGTGAATTAATAGAACCGCGTAATTGGTCACTGGTTCAGGTGACATGGAACACGCTATGATGTTTAAAATTGCACTTACGAACATGCCCAATGTGGAGACAAATAGGAGCAGCATGGTTAGACGAAGACCGTCTTCGCGACTGTCGTTTATTTTCCAAGTATTGTCCCATCGCATTTTGAAATGGCAATTTAAATTACCAATTATCGTCAACGGGTACATAGCCATGCCATATAAATAGTAAACGATCGCAGACTTCTCGCCATTCTCGTCCTCTTCTACCTCATGGTAGATAACAATAACAATAGACAAGACTAGAATAACGCCACCCAGAGCAAGGCCTTTAAAACTTTTTTCCAGAGTAAAATATTTAGATTCCTTCGCGTGGTGTTGCGCCGTTGCCTGGCGTCCAATGTTTCCATGTATAACATACATAAAACCGGACATAACTAGATAAAATTCCATTACACCCGGCACGAGTATAGCAGAGGAGTCCTCAATCATGTGACTAAAATCGTTGTTCTCATTCCTAAAATCTACATCAAATAAAAGTAACCAAAATTAACATAAGTGTATTTCGATTTGGCGGCTCAGATATCTCTACTAACATGAATGCTAACCTGGCTGATGTGTTCAGGACAAACCAACACATATAAAGGGAGTTCGGTCAACGAACCGATATTGATAAGCCATTTTCATCTTTGGTTCGACAACTAACAGTTACATACACATACAAATATGGCTCGTAATTATCCACACCAAAACACCCACCTAAACCAGTTGCACTTGAGTTAACAGTTGACGAGTTACACACGTCATAGTCGAATGGGTTCTTGAAATGATGACCAATTTCTCCGACAAACTCATTGCACCAGCCACTGATGCATGTTGCCCACAGACACATAACTGCGATCCTGTCAAAACGAGTAATCTATAGTTAGGTGAATACACAAATACAGATCGTTGTTTATGTACGATTTACATATATGCATCGATTGCGCCTCTTCCGAGGAGATTCTGAAGAATGAGCCATTTGTGATTGCCAGGGTATCTAGTAAAAATTTATAAGTGAAAACTAATTTAAAGCGCGGTAGTCGTCGCGCTGCGCATGTGCATATGGGTCTCATATAAACAATGATGACGACTTTGACTGTTGCGCAGATCAACGAGTACGAACTGAGACGTTTCCAAGATTTCCAGTGCAAATTGCTCCCAGGTCAAACCTCATACTTGTGATTTTCATTTGAAGAACGCATTGAATTGTGGGAAAATCAATGTTTATCAACACAAATGTCGCATATGCGCAGCGAGACGACTACCGCGCTTTAAACATTCAACATAGTCATTCAACAACAAAAAAACATTTTGTGGGGATTACTATTTACCGACGTATGGTCTTAGATAACCAATAACGAACGCGTTTAGTTACCTAGCAAAACAATTCCACTTTGGTATGCATACGTTGGTGTAGGCACAGACGAATATCCACAGAAAGAGTATAAAAACAATCTCTAGGATGGAATGGGCAGCATAGACATATATGTCACTCTTCGCATAGCTGTCATCTAACACGGAGCCAAACTGCATTCCTGAAAGCACCATACCGCATAAACCGAATAGTGCTGCACCACCTGGCAAATGGAAAACACAGTTATTTTATTCGTTATACTTTTATCGATATCACATCACAAATTAAGCTATTTGTAGCTTAATTTTTTACTGCCTTTTCAGCCATGATGTGCGACCGCATGTCCCATTTTGCAACTTGAAGTATGTAAACAACCCTCTATAAAGTTTTAACTAAAAAAATGACTTATTTTATTTCGAGGGAGATGAAGGATCCTATGCCTTAGACAAACACAATCTATATCTGTCTACGTCTACATTAACATAATGTCGGGTACATCTTTCTTGGTTATTGTATGTGTAAAAAATGTGGTCAATGTTAGACTCGTCGATCGTCCTGAATTACAAATTTGCATCATCGAGTTTCCGATTTATATTTAAATTGAGTTATACATCGGCCAAAAAGCCAATCAGCGATCCGCGTTGCAGTTAGTGAATATTATTGGTGATTATCGCATTATTGAGTGAAATGTCGTTACTGGCCAATATTCTCCATTGCAAAGTATTTCTCCCCACAGAACATCAGAGAGTTGTTTCGGACCTCGCTCTCACATCCATCTGTCTCGTGGTGTGTTCTACGCTAATCCCCAACGCGTGTTTTTGTTACAATATTTGGAATGTTGGCATGGCAATAATAAGCTAGACATAATTTAAATATTAACCATCAAATATCTTGACTAGTGTATATATCAAACGTCAGTTACAATAGTGCATGCACGTGATCTGACTGTTTTGGAAAAGAATTTTCTGACCGATTGTTATATAAGTAAATGCTAGACAAAGTCCGGGCACGTGTACACAGTCACACCAACACAAGTAGTTGAAGGTAATTAGCCAGTACAAACTTCCAGTGTTGTGATGTATTGTAAGTCAAATAATGCACTATTGGATAATTCGCTCCCATATGTGTTGGCCATTTTTGTACACATATACACTCCATTCGTGCCTTTACCCTTTACATAGACCCCAAGCAAAAACGATCATACCTTTAACAAAAGCAGAACCAGACTGCTGGCGCTGGTTGGTTGAATGTGGAACCATCATACCAGAAAATCTGATACAAACTATGAATAATATTGATGACACATGTAAGTAAATAAACCATAAATGTTTGGAGATATTCCATCGTCTCACATCATTTTCAGAATTACCATGATTAACATTGAAGTTTGGTAAAATGTCCAGGAACGGCAATACGATCGCAACCACAATCTGCAAAATGGCGAAGAGTTGGCTAAATGCCACACTCGCCTTTGATCTGAAATAAAAATAATATTGTGGCTCTAAATAATGAATGTATTACAATATGTGATATATCAAATCAAATGTTTAATAACACTATATGATAATTAAATTACATATATGCATTCTTGTATTAGTGAGCAGATCCTAGTGTCAGCACGGGTTGGGACAGAACGCATGACAGCAGCATTAAGGTTTCTTTACTCATGAACTATGCACTATTCAAACTCTGTTAATCAGTGGAATGAATAACCTACACTATCGTTTCTACTTTGGAATACTTCCATTGCATAATAGAGTATAAGTAATTAAAAATATCAATATTTTTATCTTTTCTTTCCCTTCCTGTTTTCCTCGACCAATGGACGTTGTCGCATAGTTTCAGAATTGGCCAGGAGAACAGTCCATTATACAGGAAGAGGTAGATACAACATTATTTTATATTTAGTATTTTATAGTGATACATTTTTCAACTCCCTTTGGTAATTGTATATTTTTGAGAAACTCCAACTGACATGATCAATTTTCTCTGTGTGCTGCCATCTACCCGGAAGCGTGTATCTAACAACTGACGGCCGATGACGCACAATCCTTCTGATTGGTCAAATCGTGGTGAAATGGTGTCTAATCGTGGTTTGAGGTCACATGCTCCATCCCATATTTATAAAAAACAAAACTAACAGCATTTCAATGACATATGTCTCGCTATAATTATATTAAATAATAAACATATTTACTATACCCATTTGTAACTATCATATACTTACTCTCGATTAACCTGTAAACGTCGTAGATTTACGTACTCAACGCCATCTTTATTATGCACCGTACAATAATCATCCAATTCACAGGATGAGATTATACGATCATTTTCTTCCTTTGACATTTTGGAGAGACGACTGAAGCAGAGATTAAAGTCCGTCTATGCTCGATCGTAAATTGAAATGCATAGGATCTAAACAAAAAGTATATATAAAATATGAGTGATCAATTTTATTAAAATTGTCTCATATTATAATATAGTCTATGTGACACTTGGAGAAGCATTAAAACACAATTTAGTGAGCATTGTACAGTATGAGCTCATGTCATGTTAATTAAAACATAGTGGTAAACCTGACCATTATCACTTCTACTGATAATATAAATTGACGTTCAATATTTATACAAATAATTCCGAATAAATTATATACTAAATCATAACAAAAAACGTTTTGCATTTCATTGTTTTCATGACCTGTGTCGTCGATATTGCCTAATAAAGTATCATGATACAAATTAGAATCGTTTTTTTCTACGAAACGACCATTCACCATAATTGTTGTTATTTGATCCGTACACATTGATTTCTCAGAAGATGATCTTTATTTCTTGGAAGCCGTCACCATTTTAATTTATAAATATGAAGGTTAAGTGCCGAAGAGATTTTCAAAGTAAATGTGTCAATTATTCAGTCCGTGTTGGAAATTCCGCTTTCTCGCGAAATTTTACTTTTTACGACACATTTACCAACCCAAAGAGCTCCACCTGTAAGCATTCATGTAGTGATTGATACAAGTGACTAGTATATACCCACCAGGGTGTACACTAACTGAAACACAAAATGTCGATATACAGATGTGTCGATAAACAGGTGCATTAGTTTGGTATGTCAATGATCAGTATACGACCTTGGCCGCGGTCAATATTTGCATAATATTGAATCCCTGAATTAGACGCTCGCATGGAGAATATATGCATACTGTACATATACCTGTCAGTCAACAGATTCAAGAGTATATAACTACTGTTGTATCCTCATCAAACCTTGGCGTTGTCAATTAAAGCTTACCTACATATCAGATGTATATACATGATGAACATTACTTACAATACGGCACGTTGATGACGGACCACAGCACCACTTATTACACAATAACAAATTGCATACAGTATCGTCCTGTTATATGATACGAAAGTGAAAGTAATTTTTCTTATTCGGCGAACTCATTTATATATAAATACAATACAGAGAATCAACCACGGTCCCGATAACCAGGATGAACATAGGTCATACATGCGTGGTAATATAAACTGGTTTTCCCCACAATCTCTATTGATATCTGCGAGTTGCATCATAATTTTTTATTGGCTAGATTTCAATTTTAAATTAAATATATAAATATTGTTCTGATTGTTATTATAACTTACAAGGAATGCTTAACAGAATTTGAAATAATCTTTGACAACCCAGTTAGCTGGTATGAGTTTGAAGAAAACCCTTATACAACAGCGTGTTGTCAAGTTAAGCGACTAGATGCCTACTAGTGCCAGGTAGTCATGCGGAGCCCACGTGGAATTCTATTCAGGTATTGACAATTAGACCAGTGTGTGCTTTTTATATCCACTAACAAGTCGGTGAAATTGTTATCAGGCTGCGCATGCGTAGAGCGTATGTCATAGCGACGGAAGTGCAGCCACGCGTCGATTATTCGTGCTATTGTAAGAGAACAAGAGGTTAATGCCTGGCTATGGAGATTCACCTTTGAAAGCATTCTGTTCCAGTGATATTTTCACGTTATAATTTGTAGAGTATTTGTCATTATTTGGTGCAGCCGGGATACGTGATTACCTAAATATTATTTTCTATGAAGCCTAGACATTGTGTTATAAAAATGCTGAGAATAGTGTGTTGCGTAAGATGTCCGCATACTTTAGACCAAGTGCGGGTCACGTGACCAAACCAAACGGTGACATCGAAAACAGGACGTGTGCATCGCGGCAATGGACCAGACAAACAGACATTACTAGTATTAACAAATTTGTATCATACGACATGCTGAATATTCGAGTTACAAAAATTAACCATGCCCTTATATAACTACGCCTAGCTTTGAAAAACAATGTTCAATTTATGGGTAGCTACGAGTTACGGGCAACATTGTTGTTGTCGCTGCTGATGTTGCCGTTGTTGTGTAATCATCTACAAACCGTAGTATTGCTATGTGATAAGCTTGTTTCAAAATTTGATTTCAGTTGCTGAGTGGACTTAAATTAAATTTACGTGATCGGATGTTGAGACGACAAAAGAAATAAACAAACTGAAAAAAGTTATTGTCCGTAACTTAAGTTAACTGTCATTTGGTAAACTGTAAATTAAAGTTCGAGTTACTAAATGTGAACGATAAAGAGATCTGTGTTGCCCGTAGTTCCATTTGCTGTTAATTGTACATTGAATTACAATTAGGGCGAGTTTTTCCTAAGATGTGTTCGTAACTTCAGTATCTCGTATTATAGGCGTTTCCTGACTCACGAGGGCGTATTTGTATGGTGTTATCCATTATCTAATTATTTTCGTGACACTTATGTATTTGGTCAATTCGTATAACTACGTCCGTGTACAGTGCCTTCATGAGATAGAGAAAAGATCCGTGGTAATTTACAACAAAATTATGTAGAATGCATGATCCATTGACGTCTTCTATCAAACTGTAACATATATAATCTTTTCATATTTATCGAAGTTGAAAATTGTATTTTGCAGAGAGAGTGGAAAAAATAAGCATACACAGCATAAATTAAAAGCCTTGCAATTTGTAATGTAACATTCAATCTAATGACCTTAGTTTAACACCCGCGGCCGAAACGTCCATCTTGAAGAGAAGCAGCAATCAAAACGTCAAGGTATAAGACGTAAAATTGTCTTCAACGTCCGGCACTCATGCCAATACATCAACATTTCCGGTATACCCATTTTATTTGGTATCAGAGATCTAGAGGCCCGATTAGAATCGTTCCATCTACAATCTGACATTTTGGATTGCAAGCGAAAACAAATCACAAACTATCATAGCTAATAAGATTACACATTGTCCCCATCGACTGGAATTGGGATTAGACGTACAATAAATGAGAATAAAACATTTGTCGGTTGTAAGTTAAAAGACATTGCACGGGTTTTTCTTTTCTTTCTTACACACATTATTTACAGTATTCTAACAGCAACGCACGGTGTTAAACCTAAAAATGAGATAATATTATCCATGGGTGGCCCCAGAAACAAGTTTTTCCTGAGTGGTCCTAACAACAAGGGAGATAATATTATCCATGTGTAGTCCCAACAAGAAGTAAGGTAGTATTATCTCGGATTGGCCCCCACAAGAGAGACAATATTATTCCTGAGTGGCCCCAACAAGGGATACAATAATATCCCTGAGTTGTCCCAATAACACAGATAGAAATATGCAGTTATGTAACGATTTTTAAAATGTTCGTAATTTTTGGTTAAATTGCGCTATTTTGCATTTTCTGCTCGTGAGGCAAATTATTCATGGTCATAATAATTCCATTTTGCTAGAAAGTACTTTTTATGCAATTTATGAAATTTAGATAAGTATCTTCTGAACTTGAATAATAAGAATTCTTTGCCTTGATACATAGTGGTAGTTGTTTTTGTAGACGCGGAGGCGTAGATGGTGCACGTGGTTAGGTTTATTTGTATTAAACGGATCACAGAACACACATCAGTCGATTACATAAAATTATCGGATTCGTTGGTGTAAAGTTTAAAGCGGGGTGAGCAGGTGACGACCCTCCCGCTTTAACTTGAAGCGTACATGTCACTCACGCTGGAGAAATAATTACACTCGCCAGGATTCAATGTCAATAAATGCAAGATAGATTTATTCCAATAATATGACAACAAATGACATCATTCAACAGTAAATTGTTAATAAAAAGCCCCGCCCCCAGGGCTTTGGGTTGGGATGCGTTTTGGACGAGTTTGACTCTACGTCCGCCTTGAACGGATTACAAAAAAATGGCACAGAAAGTTCCATATATGCTAAAAAGGTTATTCCCGGCAAATACAAATACATCACTCTCTTGCTCAAGTTCAATTATGAATTGAACGTAACAGCGTGGCTTTAAATACAAAATCATCATTTCAACGCGGGGCATAGTGCGATATATCTAAAAATGTATTATCACATGTGAGCTTACACACAAAACAAATATAGAACATAACGGGACTTTTTAATCATCCCCTCATCCAAATTTCTAAGTATAATAGGAATGAATGAAACCGAAAGTATAACTCTAGTGGAGTCACCAGATGTAAAACAATCGACCAAATCTCATAACTATAGAAACAGTATTGAATGGGACACACTCCAAGATCTTTATGTTCGTAAATGCCCATCCACCAAATCACGAAGTTTAGGAAAACTAAAAACAACATGATGTTACGAACAAACGTCGGTTTGAACTCATCTGGTGGCTTTCTATGAAACGCATCGTACAGGAATATCACCTGACATGATACATTAATGATCTTTATGACGTTCTGTGCAATAATTATTTCTGGTTGGTGCACGGATTGCATCGATAACGAGGCCGCAATTATAGTAAACGTGCTATTAATAAAATCACCGCTAGCTGAAATAAACATGAGTACCATAGTAAGTTTGACTTCATCGTCGCGATTGTCGTCGATTTCCCATGTATCACTGTTCCTCATTTTGTGGTGGGACACAAGGTTACCCACAATAGCCAGTATATACACGCTAATGGTAAATCCGTAATAAATTAATGACGGTTTGCCTATTATTTGATTATCTGGATGCTTTTCTGATTTGACATGCTCCCATGTCACCAGGATTGAGATCACTAACATGATAATACCTAGTCCCATTCCGAAGTAACTTTTGTCCAGGGTGATGTGTCTCTCTCCACGTACAGCCTGGTTATCCGTATCTCTCTTTCTATATTTCCATACATCACGTACATGAAGCCAGACATGATGAGATAAAATTCCATTGCCCCCGGAGTCAAGAACGGTGCAGCGTCATGTTGTAAAGTATCAAATGTCTCGTTACCCACACTTACTATTGAAAAAAACGTAAACAA